TTTGCTGACTCCTCAAATTTTACCACATCGTTTTCATCAAAAATCTTTGTGCAAAACTAGCAATAAATGTATATATAAAGAGGGAGGAAAACAGCTCAACTAATGTCTTCCTAATCATATCTTTTAGTTCTCATAACTGTGTAACGACATGCAAAACTACTATTTGTATGCTACAGTATTAGCCTCATCTCTGCTACATAATTTATAAATTATTACATGTTTATCATCTAAGGATGAACTTGAATATCTAAAAATATTGAATTCATAACGATGTTTGTGAAGAAAACATTTGTGAACATCCATTTAAAAAATACCCATTCAAACATTCCAGATCAGTGATATTACATTCCTGAATTTGGAGTGCTTATATTTAGTATTTGCATTTTCACCTTTGATGATTATAGTAATTGAATCAACAATATGACATGTGAACTGCATAATATACAGACAGTTAGAGCATTTGTTAACTGCACATTGAGCTTTGCCAATCATATTATGAAATTGATGTTTTTAGGTTTTCAGAGAATGACTATCTTGGAGCAGAACAGTCAACAGAAGCTGTTTAGTCTGATGTTGTAAATGATCGAATATTTATGTACTACTGCCGGTTTTGTTTCAGTGCACAGAGAACACTGACATTTCCAGCATTTTCTTTAAAAGTGTAGCCCTTTGAGGATGGGGCGATTCTTTTTTGCTTATTTTCTTATGCAGTGTACATATTATTCAGTGTGATTTGAACAGAAACACAAAAGAAAACAATAAGCTGTTTTTATAAAAGTGCCTGTTACAAAGTCTGATAGACCTGCTACAAAAATCTAGAAGATTTTTTTTAAAAAAAAAGGAATTAAAAATTTTATTTTAAAAATTAAATGGAAGAAACCATTGCTTCTTTTTACTCAATCTGTAAAGAAAGATAGAATTTCTAAAATTTATACCTACTTCTTAGTAATTCTTCATTAACATTACATTGGTTATCTCAAGCTTAAATCTTAACTTGTCCATGAAAAATTAAATTCAATATTATAGATTGGAATTGCTCATGCTGTCACTTCAGTGGACACCAGTCATTTCAGAAAGCCGATAGCTTTCTGATTTCCATGTTTAGGAATAAATAGAATTCTTCTCTTCTCTTGTAATCTTAAATCTATCTATCTTAGCCATTGGTGAGGTTGTGGGCAGTTTGCAATATACTTTTCCAGATTGCCTTCTTCTGTTCTAATTAATCACAGCTTCTGCTCGGCACTAAGACGAGCGCTGTTCTCTCTCGAAAATATGTTCTTGGAAAATTGTGATTATAGAGAACAGTCCCAAGCCACTCTGGATGCAATCCACATGCTCTGGTTAGTAGGCTAATATGTGGTTAAAAACTGTAGTTTGATTACTATCTTCAGATTTCTTCTTTAGATTTGTGACATATAGACGTCATATTATTTACAAAGAACAGATAATAATGTAATAATAATCTAATAAAAAGAGTTGATTTGAAAATATTTTTCCAGATTCCAAGAAGCATTTGTGCTGGTTTTGGCATGTCCTTAATCTGAAGTTTAAAACTAAGTATCAAAAGACTGGATTACATTTTTTTATTGTACTTTACGAGGAAAATTTTATTTCTCATCTTTTTCTGAAGCAGTTTTTGTAGATTTTTTATTGCTCAGGAAAAGAATTTTTTTATTCCTCAGGAAAAGCCAGGAAATATTTGGTTATTTACTCATTCTATAAAACGAGTATAATTTCTTCAAGAAATGACAGAATCCCAACAGTGGGAAAAATATTTTATTGTCATGTTGATCAACCTTCTGATAGTTCAGGGTTATTAGCTAGGGCAATTGTTCTAGTACTTTCTCCTGTCTCATATAAATATCCATATTTAGGCTTCAGATTGTCAGCCTTGTTGTTGTTATAAGTTTATCTGAAAACAATTCTCTGCTGTAAAAATTTATTAATCTAAATTTTGATAAAATTAGAAGCATCATTTTTAGTGATGCAAGATTTTGTTACAGAAAACACCTTGGGTGCTTGATTTTATTATTATTAATGTTGTGGTTTTAAAAGAAAATATTTGTAATGCAGTCTAAATTTACAGCCAGGTGTAGTTTGTTATTATAGCTTCCTTTCTCTACACAGTTTACACTTCAGCCCAAGCAATAGTTCTGAAAACCCTAATGCAGAATTCAAGTGACTGAGCCTATCATGTTTTTCCCTGCAGCTTTAGTAAGCATATGGATTATGTCTAAGTTGATGTCTCTTTATTCCTCTAGGGAATTGACCATTTCTATTACTCATGAAGCATCCTACCTGGTGATAGGAACATAATTTTTCTTTTTCTTTTTTCTTTTTTTTTTCCTAAACAGAAATTCCTCCAACCTTTTTCAGCTCTCCTGAACATTTCAGTGAACTTGAAATTTTCCTTCATTATTTTCTGTTGCTCTGTTACCATATTGTTTTATACCTTGCTTTCTGGACCCTCAGTCTGGAAAAGAACTAAAATCTCAGTTTTCCCTGTATAATGGAGATGCAGTTCAAAGCCTGCAGATGTTCAGTGATTTCTCAATTGTGCAATGAAGTGGTGATGAACTCGGTCGATAACCAAGTGATCAATGCCGGAGTAAAGGAAAAAATGTATTTTTCTGAACCCACCTATTCACTTAGAATATTTTATTAATCACCGTAGATCCCTTTTGTTGATTTTCATAGCTATTTCTGTTCCTATTAGATATTTCTGCTCTTATTTCACAGGTTCCTTACATTCATCCCCCTAATTCCTTTCTTCATCTTATGTCAAACTGTACTGGTCTGCCCGAGTTTTAGGTCCTGGTGCTCAGTGCCTTAACTTTTGTGTAATGTTGAATTAACTCCAGTATTTTTGCTTACTTCTAGCAATAGATTTTTATAGTATTCCTTATATATCAATATTCACTGCATTTTGAAACTTTATCAAAAGTCCACAGTATTTCACCTATAGAAACCTGATGTTTTTCTGGCCTGCACAGTGTTACATGAATGCCAATCCTCAACTCCTGAGTGTCGTTGCAATCCTCAAGGATAATTCTAGATTGCTGATGTGGTTTACACTGTGCCATAGCACAAAGCAATGTACTTTGTGATCTGTGACTGTTGCTTGTTTTTCATTTCAATCACCCAGATTTATGCCTATGTATTTGAGAATATCAGATCAGTTCAGCTTGAGGCTTTACTTCTGTCCCTGCTGAGCATTGTGGTGCTTGTTCTTGTTAAAGAATTGAATGAGAAATTTAAAAGAAACATTAAATTTGTTCTTCCCATCGATCTAGTTTTGGTAAGTATGGAATCAAATATCAGACTTTTTGCTTTACAAAGCTTTCAGTGGTTCAACTAATCTGCTGAAGTTTACTGTGTTGTCTTGTCAACAGTTACCCACAGCCACTCCTGCCACTAATTAAATGGATAGCTAAATTTCATAGCTGTATGTTGAATACAAGAAGAGGAAACACTTTAGCTAAATAACCAAGAAAGAAATGACATATGTTCCCAATTTGTAAAATATTTTTCATGTGTTTACTATTTATTGCATAATTACAAGAACACAAAGTCTAAAATATTACAGTGTAAGAAATTCAAAACAGAAAATGAAAAGTAACTGGCAAATAGAAACTCCAGGAAAGTCATACGGGATATCTGTGGTTTAGATATTGATTGTTATTTGTCTGCAATGAAGTTAAGCATCTAAGATTTAATTTTCTTCAATTCTACTTAAAGTTTTCCTTTCACACAGCATAGGCTAAATTGAAATTCTCTATAGCACTGTAAATCTCTACTGTTAAAGCTTAAGTACTGTTCAAGTTACCAGAACCAGGAGAGAATTTTTCTCTTTTTCTGAAGATCTCCAATGGAAAATAAACAAATTTGAAGGGCAGGTGCTTCTCAGAGTAGATCATCACAGTTGCTCTTCCTTTGCTGAAGGAATGATTTACAAAACAAACATTTTTCTTGGACAAAATGATGGAAAAGGAGGTAGAGTTGATCTGGTCCTTGCTCTGGGACCTGCTTTATATTTCATGCTAAACTGCATGCAATGTACAAGCAAACCTAGGATCATAAAGTGACAGTTTGTCTGGAGTTTACATGTTCTTTTCAGAAAAAGTAGGCAAAGTGAGTTTGAATCTCCTTAGGGTCAAGTTTTCCACTTCCTCAGCAGGATTTCTTACCACTGGAACATAACTATAAGAGACAGGCACCCCTTCTTCTGCAGTGTTTTGTGCCCAAGTCAACACTACCAATGTGGACTAGGTGAGCACAGAGAGTGTCAGCTGAGTCAGACCACTCAGGAGCATCTATATTATGAATTGCTTTACGTTGTTTGCGTGAATTTAAAATGGCTGTAACCTGCAGTGTGTATTATGTGAAACATTTTAAATGCCAGTTGGCAAGATTCCTGATATTTTCAGAGACTGTTACACATTGCTTTCATAAAGATAGAGTATCTAAATCCTAGTGTAGCCATTCTTCATCCTGCCATTTTAAAACTTTCTTTTTTTTCTCATCCGGATCTTAGCTTTTTTTTGCCTCACATCTCTTCTTGTAAATGATTTTTGTAATAATACTTCCCTATCTTACTGGATTGATGTAAGGATAAATGCATAAAGATTCAGTATTTCAGTATTATTATGTACATTTATATCCCTCGTATTGCAGTAATAGGTATCATATGAGAACCTAAAATTGATAGAAACTTAACATCTTTTCTGTATTGATTATCACATAGATAGTCGCTACCTCCGTTGGTTGCTACTATGCTGATATGGAATACGCCTATGGGCTAGAAGTTGTGGGACATATTCCTGAAGGGTAATGTGTTTTTCTTCAGCTTGTGGATATTAAGTATGTACTTAATAGTTTGATTATTAAATAGTTTTGGTCAAAATAGTTTGCTGAAATAAGAAGTAGCAAAAATCTGCCATGTTCATTGCTGTCCTCAGCCAAAGTTTCTCTCTCAATAGCTCCCCTCTCAGTCTCTCAAGGTTTCTCTGTATAGAAATCGTTATAAAAATGCATACTGTCTCGCACATTTTCATGGTAGATTCGTTACTTTAAGAGATAAAAAGTGGGTACTAAATGCTTGGTGGAGCTGGTGGTTGTATAATAGGAGGGCAAAACATTCTCTGTTGTTTCTGTGGGTTGCCTTGGGTTACTCTAGAAGAAAAGACTTAGAAATCAGATAAGGCTTGTAGATTGCTGCACTTCATTCCTCTCCACTCACTCCTACACTAATTTTAGAAAATGTGGTTTCTTAGCAAAAATGAATGAATTAAATATTTTTTATCTAGAAATCTAATCAGAGATATGTTGTTCGTCTCCATATAAGCTTATTGTAAAGACTATTGCAATCTCTTTTTTTCTATGACCTTGATGAGAAGGAGAAAAAATATTCAGTATAATTAGTTGCAAAGAAAATTCAGAATAGATACTGAGGAAAATATTGCATGGGATGCTGCTGAGAGATTTAGGGCAAATTACATGCTAAATAGATCTAAAGTTAAAATGAGGTTATATATTTTTGATATGTATTATGCGCTGATGAATTGTATTGGCACAAATTTATTCAGAAGTTTATTTTCTGTCTAACCTGACATGCTGATATTCTGTAGTGTTGAAAAATATAAGCATGAACATGGATCCTTCCTGGGTATTTTTAGGTGCTTCCTAGAATATCTAACTTTCTTGTCAGTGGAGAGTGTTAGAAACTCTGGGAGTACATTTCTGCTCTTAGGTGGTGTGAGCCCTGGAGACAAGTCTCCAGAAGACACAAGAACTACAGAGGATGTTTGGGGTAATTTAATTCTTAACATAGGCATTTCTGTAAGGGGGCAAAAATTAGATGAAATGAATGTGAGCTACTCTCCCTAACCTACAAAAATACTAAATCATTTAAATGTTAATATTTTAAAATACAATTATATATAAAAAAATCCAGCAGAATCTTGTTTATTTCTCATTAAAAAATTAGGGAATTGTTGCAGATTATATTTTTTTCAGTAGCAGAGCTAATATATAATGCCTTACTAATTTTTCAAAACAGAATTTACAAATGAGAGACTCCATCTGGGGCCATTTCATCTTCTTATACGAATTCTCCCCTGCAGTTCTCAAAAGACTGGAATCTCCCTAATCTGAAATATTGAGAAAAAATTGCTTTAGAATTATTCAAAAAATTAGCTGTACATGCAAATGTTGTATTTTTGCGAATCATAGGTATATTGAGGCTGTGTACAATGCTTTGTAAAGAATTTCCTTGATTTTTACAGGATACCATCACCAAAAGCACCGCCCATGAGTGTCCTGCCTGAAGTAGCCACTGAAGCTTTTGGAGTAGCACTGGTTGGTTACGCAGCATCTCTCTCTCTAGCCCAAGGCTCTGCTAAAAAGTTTAAGTACACTGTAGATGACAACCAGGTAAAGGTCTTTCTCTTAACTGTCAGTCTGCCTTGAAAATACTTCATTTTTCTGAAAATGTGATACAGATGAATGTCCAAGAGGAAAGGGGAAGTTCCAGGTGCCATCATGAGGTCTTCCAGTGATTACAGTAAAAACCAAATATGCCCAGCTCAGCTCTGTAGAACATTCTGGCTGGTTGAGTGAATCCTACTGAAGAAGCAAATCCTTCAGGTTAATCTTATAATGCCACATTCTGTTCAGGTAGCTGCCAATTTGAGTGTTAATACATTTTTATGGTGTTCTGAGAAGACACTGCTTCTCCTGTGGCAGTTGAGCTTTTAGGCCAGCTAAGATTTTAAATAAGCCACTGATTAAAGGAACAAAGCAGTTCTAAAATAAACTAGGTACTTATAGCCCCAACATGTGTCTGATGTTATAAATTGAGGCTTATACAAAGTAGAAGTATCCTTTGAAGTAAAGGTTTATTTGTATAAAAGATACAGATTCAGATCTCAGGGTTCAGATAGGACTGCCAAATCTGCTGTAAAAGAAGCAGGGTGGGTTCAGATAGGACTGCCAAATCTGCTATAGTGATCATAGGGCAAAAATGACTGATGGGGCTGACAGGAGCCAGGGCATTTGGTGGTGCAAGCAGAGGGCTGCACTGTGCCATGAGGAGTGCACCTGGGCCAGACAGCTGCGCTGCACGCAGGGGCCATGCATATGCCTCTGCCTTGAGGCAGGCAGATGTGCAAGGCAAATATAGTATATTTGCAACAAAAGCTAGCATGTCGTGTAGTATTGCTACCATATTTCACTAAAGCGTGCTCTGAAAAAAAGGAAATCAATGCTTGGCCCTTTCTCAGCAGAGTCATAAGCCAGATGTGATCTGGACCTACCTCAGATGCTACTACTCCAAGCTCTGGTCTGTTAAAATGCAGATGTGGCTCAGGGTGTAAATGTTTTGACTGAAGCTCATCTTCAAATATTAGTAATGTCATTTATTCTGTGAACATAAGGTACCTGCTTCAGCTTTTGATGAATCTGGTTCAACAGCTGTATCATTCAAGTTAGGTCTGAGTCATGATACACTGTGTTGGGAGATTTTGGCCATTCTTTATTATTACTGGTTTTTATACAGGGAATACCTTTGCTGGCAAGGAGCATTGAAATGATAGAAAAAAAGAAAAAAAATGTGTGTTCTTTTTAACAACTTTGCAGGAGCTTTTGGCTCATGGCCTCAGCAACGTGATTCCTTCATTTTTCTTTTGCATACCAAGTGCTGCAGCAATGGGACGTACAGCACTTTTATATAGTACAGGCGCCAGAACACAGGTAATGCCTCAGACTGAAGTAAGTAGGGTAATTAAGACTGTGAGTTGTTCACTGTACTGATTTATCCACTTGTACTGATTTATCTACTGTATCCTACTATCCTCCCTTTTCTTGTATCCTGGAGCATGACTTTTCGCTGTCATCTTTAACAATCTGCATGGAATTCCAGCCGATCAACAACTGTCTTGCTGGAAAAACAAATGATTTTGCTCTTTAATTTGTATCTATTTAATTCAATATAAATTCTGGAGCAGTGGGAAGCTAAGTGTTTTGTTTGGTCCTTTCATAGACTGCATGAAACTGCACATAAGTCCTTTCAGAGGAACAAGGAACTGTCAGTGAAACTGTCAGGAACTGTCAGGAACTGTAGCAAAAGTGCCCTCTAATGGTGTTTAACGGATTTAATGATAAGCTCTAAACCGAAGATTTAAACAAAAACAAAAACATACAAACAAAAAACAAAACAAACAAACAAAAAAAAACAGTGCTTGTATTTGAGTTTCAAAATGCAGTGAAAATAACCTTGGGAGCTGCTCCTAAAAGACCCTAGCAATCTGACAGTTTCTGCCTTGTGGCAGGTCCTGTCCATGAGTAGGTCTGCACCGTGCCCGCAGAGATGACGTTCAGCTATTTGGATAGATATTAGCTATTTCCTACTGTTGGAAACCAACCCCAACGTTCTTGTCACAACAGCTCAGAGAAATGAGCAGCTGAGCATTTACTATCATGGACAGATCAGAGTTTCTTCATGTATTAAGACCATGGAAATAATTTGCTATATAATACACCTGAAATTGTCTCTCTTGTTTTCTTCTCTTCCTTTTTGGAGAGCAACACAACTCCACCTTCTTCTTTTGGGGCTATTTAGGCAGAATGAACAGAAAAGTGTAATGTGACTGGTAAGCTTTGGTAAAATCACAGGTGAAGAGAACACCAAAGGGTTGCTTTGAGTGCACAAACAGAAGTCAATTTAATTTTAGACATGTCAAGAGGGAAATGTGAAGAGCCTCGCAGAGGCTCTCAGCAGCCCCTTTTTCTCCAAAGACTATATTTAGATTCTGTGATGTCATTCACTCTTATCTGCCATCTTTTCCTTGGAGAACAACAGAAGTGAGGGACTATCATGAGCTGAAAACTGTTCTTCAAGAAGAACCAACAATATTTTTTTTTTTTTTTTTTTTTACGTTACTTTGAGGGGAGATGGGGAGAATGAAAAGTTTCTTGTGACTCTACCACCAGATTTTGTGTCTTTTCTGTAAACAGCCCCTCTTGATAGGATTTTTTAAGAAAAACATGGCTTTTTCTAGTGTTTTAACAACTTGTCTGTTTTTGTTTTTAACAACTTGTCTCTTAAAATGAAACCTAATAATTTTAGTAAAGAAACATTTTATCAATCCAAAATAAGGTGAGCATCTGTCTACTTATCGTCAAAAACCTTCTGTGAATCTGGACTGTATCTTAATGAGGCCTGAAGTACTGTGCTTTGTAATTGGTAGGACACTGCTATTTTAATATATTTTTCCATCAAATTAATATTGTCTAATATTGTGAAGAAAAAATTGAACACACTTGTCCTGATTTGTGCTACCTGCACTAAGTATCACTTTTTAATATAAATATATAATTTCTACTGCATTTTCTATGATAAAATATATAGATGCTATTGTGAGTATCAGCGATGGTTGATGACTTAACACAATTGTTTCATTTTAGTGTTGATCTCCCCAAAAGTACAAAGCTTCTCTTGTGAAAAGATAAACACATAGTTCTCTACACAGAATTTTTGTTTCATGACAAAAATCTGTGGTCCAGTGGAACACTGGGTACATTGCTGTAATTTATATATTTCAGAATGCAAATAGAGCGAATGCTGTGAATATTGTGAAACGAGATATTGAACACAAATATGCAATATTTAATAGCTGGTTGAATACGTCATGCTGTGGTTTGTGTCTTTATGAAGACATCAGAGTCAAACAAAAATATTGTTATCAGTTACAATAGTTTTGCTGTAGTTGGCTGAAGATAATCACCAGAAATTAAGACTAAATGCATCTTCAATCTGTAGATTAATGGCCAGAATCTCCAACACCTGGTTCTTAACTTTTTCGGTCGTGTTAGATTAACAGAACTTTTAACAGATTTTAACTTTTCAGATAGATTGAATAATGTGCTTTTCTTGTTTATTGTTTTTAGGTGGCTTGCCTTATCTCTTGTGCATTAATTCTTGTAGTGATCTATGTAGTCGGACCCATGCTATATTGGATGCCTATGGTACAGTACTTCATTTTTAAGGGTTACATCAAATATTTTCTAAAGACTTGATTTCTTGATTCTCCATCTGAGACAGCTCTCTTTTATTTCAATGCGAGTGAGAAAAGCAAAGGAGGAACATATCTCAAAATCATAAAATGTATAGGTTAATACATAATATATTGAGATTTTTTTTATAAATATGGAAAAATATACATGCACATAGATACATAAATATTTTTTATATAGTTACATGTATAGGTTTCCATGTAAGTATATAACTAAATATTTCTCTTATCCTTACTTTTGGTATGTTTGTGCAAAATGTATCCATATTAATTTGACCTTTCCCTAGAGCTCTGAAATCAGTGCTGCTGTGTTTGTACACTGGCTTGATGTTGCTCTGATGAAGTGGAGAGAGTCAGAACTTCCTGAAGTTCCTATCCTTTTCTCATGATCTTTCAGGAAGGAAAAACTGTGTTTAATAGCCCCATTTTTGTGTCACAAGGTCCCCAGAACGTATCCCATATTTGAAACACTGAGCGTGATTTTCTATAATTAAATTATATTGACTACCAAGCTGGAGGAAGAACCAATTCCATAATGAGCTTTTTTTATATTATTGTTCCCTTATAGTGTGTTCTAGCAAGCATCATTGTTGTGGGCTTGAAGGGGATGCTGATGCAGTTCCGTGACTTGAAAAAGTATTGGAATGTGGATAAAATAGACTGGGTAAGTGTAATTTAGCCTCAGGATGTTTTCCTGAGAAGCTTTAACAAATACTTACTAAACAAACTTTAATAGCTCTGCAGTCTAAGAAGACATAAGCACGAGCTTATAACACACCGATTATTTTCGTGTATGTACTACCAGTTTATTTTTCTGTCTCAGAATGTTCGTATATGAAATGTTAATTGTCTTTATATAAAGAAGAGAAATAGAACTCTAGCAAATGATTAAAGATCAAGTCTAATTTAATACTAATGTATATACAGACAGATCAAGATACAGATGTGTATCTTGTTCTATAAGTCTGTGCAGCCCTACTCTAGCTGGTTACCACACTTTTGCTATTATAGAATTATCTGAGGTCCTGACATTGTTGTTCTTTTTGTGTATGGGTCACCAGTACTCAAGAAGCAGATCTGGGAACGTTGCAAGTCCTGAGGTGCTGCAGGTAAATTGCCTGAACCCTTCTGGTTTTGCACCCAGAAGAGAGATTCTTTGGTCATGGTGAAAGATTCCACAGGATGAGAGCTGCAATAGGGCAGAAGGAGGTGGAAAGAGACATGATAGATGGAAAAGGTGGACAGATAAAGATAGATGGAAACAAATATAATATGAAAATACACTTTAGTGCAAAGTCTACAAAATCTGACAAACATTTGCACATAATTCCTTGCAAGTGTTTTGATGGGACACACTCAAATAGTTAGACCCACTTTAATTACACCATATTTAGGAAGACTCCTATTTTTTTCTTCTGAGAGGTCTCTTAATTATATTAGGCAATTGGCAGAATGGTACTCTAAGCATTTTTTATCTTACTGGTATACTGGTATAGACATCCGTTAAACATTAGGAAACTTTTATTTTGTGCCTTTCTGTTAACACCTATTCAGGAAGGTAGCCTGACTATATCCTTCTGTTCTGTGGTAATAGGCAGGAGTTTCCAAAAGCAGTAGAAGTTTCTATTGAATTCTTCACTAATTTAGTATTCTACAGCAGTAGAATACAGTAATGGTTTGTCTAGACCGAATGAAATATTTGGTGGAATATTGGGTTTCAGTAAACAAGATGAGATTTGAATATGTCAGATTTTTCACAGTGACAGAAGATTTTTTTTTGCATAATCCAGAAGAAAGGCTCTACCTTTTATGAAACTTTATGTTCCTCCAGACATAGGCCAAGTCTGTTTTATGCCACGTGCACAATATTTGGTCTTCTGCTTAACACAGGTTGCCGGTGACCTAAAAAATGAATGGTATCAGTCATGAATTGTTTTGGCAACAGTGGACTATAGGCAATTGGTAGTTATGGGAAGGAAAGCTCTAGCTTCTCCAGCAGTGCACTGAGATAGCCAAGTCCTTGGCCAATAGTTAGCCAAGTTTTTCAACAGTACATTCTGGAAGCTCCCTAGTTTTGATGAGTCCTCAAAGATAGATTAACAGGACTGATTTTTGCTTTTGTGGTTTTGGCAGAAAAGGATGGATGAATAGTCAGTTGTTACATCTTTGAAGCTATCATTATTTTTAAGAGATGTTACACAGAGGAACAATTGGCTGGGTTTATCTTTTTGGCTGAACATATCTGAAACAATCATTTGTTTTTTGGTAGTTGTGCCATTAGTTGTTAGCCTGATGGGGAAATCATTTGCTCTAAGTAGCACAATCTGAAGTAAGGCTATAAACTGATATGTTGATCTTATGTTGCTGCATAGCAATGATGGAGCCAACCAAGACTAGTGATTGAGTGACTGCACTGGTGTTAGTTGTGGATTGAGAAGATTCACCTCAGCAACTGACAGCATGTTAGAAATAAATTAGTTCCATTACCTAGGTTGTCCATAGTGTTTTGAAGATAGGAACTCCAATAAAACCTTTGGAAATAACTAGCAGCTGTCCTTTCTGGAAGTGGTTCTTTGAAGGGTGTGCGTCATGTAACACAGGACTCTTATGCTCATATGTCTGACAAATGATGGTGCAGGGAAACAGAGCATTGTAGTTTAAATCAAATTCTTACCTTGTTCCTTATCACTTTTCTAAGATTGTCATTGTGGCATCCTCATAACACAACTAGCATGAAGAATATTTATTTGTTGACTAGTGTTTTGCAAAACCTACACCTTTTTAAATGTAAAAGGTGCAGCTCTGGGTCTCCTCATTTGAAACATGGTTTGATTTTTCTTGCAAATTTAATGCTTAGGAACAGCTGAATTTAAATCAGCAGCAAGGCTGACGGAGATGGGTTGCTAATACCAAATGTTATCAGCTAAATATTATTACATATGTTTACTTTGGTTGTCTTTTGACTTGTTTTTGATAAATTCTCAGGAACTGTTCATGCAAAAACAGGAGGAACTTCCTGTTTTTGCATATCACCTCTCAAATCACATTTGATTTCTTTCTTGCTAGAGGAAAAGTCTTACTCCAGGGTTTACTCCTATCAGTCAGAGCATTCATATGACCTTAAAAGTCTCTTCCTTCACTTAAGGTTTTTTGTCAGTTCCAATACATCTGCAATGGCATTAACAATTTCCAAAATTACTGCTCAGCTCGATTCGAATATAAATATGAATAATGTAAAATGTTGCAAATGTTGTTGTATATAAACATGAAAATATAGATATAAATAATCAAATAAATGACAAAAGTAATTATACACATATATCAATATAAAAATAATATAAAATACTTGTGCAGCTGTTCAGACTATGCAAAGACTAGTTCTTGGTAATGGAATGCTAAATAAAAATACTCTTTTTGCTGTTAGCAGTTGGATTCAAAAATGACCAAAGGGGATGAAATTATTTCAGAAGATGATGCTGTATGTAAAAGTGACAATAAAATAAGAAATACTCCCATGAAATTTAAATAATTATATGATTTAGGTATTCAACAGAGAAACACTGCAGTATTCAACAGAGAAACACAACAGACAGGAAAAATGTTAGAAATTGTACAAATGATTTTGCCAGGAAATGATCATACCTGAGATAGCTGAGTTGTGTAGCTGAGTTGTAAATCAGAAAGAATGGTAGTAATTTATGATAAAGATAGATGTACGCTAGTTCATGAAAGGTCACTCTGTGTGTATGAAATAAAAGTTTATAAATATATAAGGGATGGCATTAAATCAGTAATTAAAATACATTTCAAAAGGGAGGGACTTTTGACAGTCATCTTCCAAGACCTTGTCAGTATGAAGTTCTAAAACACTGAGCAACCACAGGGAACGAATAAAACAGTTCTGGTAACCGCCACAATAATACTTCTGTTTCATTCTTTCTCTTTCTATCTCATCCATCCATGCAATGTCAGAAAACACAGAACGACAGGAAAAAAAAAAAAAAGTTTTGAGCTTTGAGAAAGGTTTATGAGCTCCTGTTCCCAAGCATGGGGCTGGCCATCAGGCTAGGTAAGGCTATGCATGCCCTCTCTATTGCCGTTTTAAACAGCCCAAATCTTCAGTCTAAGCCAGTAGGAGTAGAAGGCCCAGGAATTTTGCAGGAATCTTATGCAGGAATTTTGATCTCATCAATACGATTTCATATCTTACATTATTTTCTCCAAAGGATCAGTTTCTTAGTTTCTTAGTCGTTTAGGTTTCTTCAGGTATTAATCAGCAAGGGCCCTGAATCATGAGAAAGCTTGGAGGAATTTAACACACACATTACCACAGAGTAGCAAGTCAGCTCTCCTATGATAATGATTTTACATGGGTGCTTCTTGCTTTTGACATCTCAGGGAGATTTTCTATCCTCCCTTTCTTAGGGAATATGCTACCTTGAATTGCTTTTGCTATAATTTTTTTAAGTGAGTGGGAAGAGACTTGCAAATACTTAATCCTTGAGACTGTGATTTTCATATAAATTCTCTTTAAAGAATAATGCTTACGCCAGTCCATCTGTCTCCTAGGCAGTCTGTGTGAAAAAAAAAACTCTCTCTTTCATATGGAGTGCTTGTGAAAAATTATATTAGAGAACTGCTCTAAAAGTCTGCTATTACACAATCACCTCCACTGTATGACTGTAGTGGCAATTTTCTACTTCAGCACTTGGATCGTGATTTTTGGTGCAGGGTACCTTTACATCTCCTATCCCAAGGCATGCTCTGAATGAACAGGACTTTGGCTTTTAATGGGATGCTCCTGGCTACATACTGGTGACTACAGCATGGCCATCTGTACCTGAGCAAGTCTTCACAGCCTCAGTAGACAGCACAGAGCTGGTCAGCATACTCAGTAAAACTGGCAGTATTATTCATCATTTGTAAAGGTGGGCATGTGCATAATTAGGTAGGGTCACATGAATGGCATCCTAAATGGATTTGATAACCAAATTTTCATTGACGTTGGTAGGAATCTGGACAGCTCACTCAGCTGTAGACCTCTATTTAGACTCACATAGACGCATCTATATTAATCATAGTTAATATGAACTGAAACAAATCTTACCTCTACAGCTGATAGCTGATTATCTTTTCAGCCTGCAGTGGAAAGGGAAGTTTATGATTTGTTTTCAAAGTGGTGCAGAAACTGAGCTTTGGAGGCAGGTGCAATGCATGCACAGTCACCATACCTCCATGCTCCAAATGCTTCTATTCACTTTGGGTATATATAAAGTTCAATATAAATCCATGTCTTATTACCATCTCCATCTACTTATTAGTTTTATCTCTCTTTAGAATTATTTTAATTTATTCAGTATAAGCATACCTTGAAGCTGGATTTTGAGAATAACATATTCCTATAATACATTATTTTTTGAGAAACTTGACTTGAGACTTGAGAAATGCAGTGGTGCATATAATATCCATCTTAAAGTAAGTTACCAAGAAGTCTTTGATGTTTTTATGACTTCTTTGTTGAACTTTTGACAATCCATGAATTAAAAAAATTATCTTAGCAGATCAGCATATCTTCTTTCTACAAGTTGGCACTACCCCTCCTAATAAAGTATTGACTAAAGGCCAACACAAATTGCAGAAAGGGTGATTGACAGATGAGAAAATGATTGTTTTGGCTCATCCTCTACCACAATAGCTGCCTCTGCTTTGTTATAACAAGATGTGAGATACTTAGCTGCTAGAGGGGCACATAACTACCCTTCTCAGTACTCAGCAGTATTTTTTTTCCCCTTTGATTCTTCCTATATACACGTTATATTGTGTTTTTCACGTTATATTGTGTTTTTATGCTTTTTTTTCCCCTTCTGTTACAGATAATAATTTTGCAGGTCTTGCAGCAGTGATTACCTAGATGTGATATTAAGAACAAGCTGATAATGAAGCTCAGTATTGCAGTAGAAGCAGCTTGCTTGTTTTTAGACTTTGTCAAGGATTCAGTCTTTATAGAATTGGAATAAATATTGATCCAGACTGAATTTCAGGCTTGCAGTGCTTCTGCTAGCCCTTTTACATGCAATAAGCAAAGTTAGAGATATATATTGGATTTATAAATCTTAGAATCATTTTTTACTGATTAATCAGAACTTAATTTATTAAGTATATACAGTATTCTTTGTAGATACATCAGAATAATTTGTATAAGATGCTATTTTATTTTTCAATCTTATTTTAAATATATAACTGGAAATGGGCCATTGCTATAGAGAATGAACCACCTCTTTAATTAGCTGCTGTCATTGAAAAGACAGCATTTTTCTTCTGTAATTCAGAAATTAAAGAGAACAAACAAAAAGCTTTCTTAGCAGAGATGTATATCATTCCGTCCTGTAGAAAGCATGAATTAATACTATATGACTTCTCTTTTCTGTTTTATAAAATAGCAATTCTGAATTCTACTTGAACAAAATCCCTGTGGTAAGGTTAAAAGTATCCTGTTGTCTCTGGCTTTCCTGAAGTAACTGAAAGGATCAAGACAGATAATTTTAACACTAATTATACCATTGTAACGGGATCTTTTTTTCTGAAAACTCTAACAAGAATTGTAATTGGTGAAACAGGCACCTAAAAACAGTATATTTATAAAAGTTAAAATACTTTTCATTCTTCTTTTACACTTTAAATATAAAGGCTAGGTGGAATGATTTACTTAAGTCTTCATCAAGGAAATATTTGCTAAATATTCCTGATAGTAGGCTGAATAAGGAATCAAGTTCATAACTTTTTCATTTTAATTCTAAAATCTTGATGTGTCTATTTTCTCTTTAGAAAGTAATTGAGGGAAAGCTCCTGAAATATAGAAATCTTTTTACTTTGTAATAAATTATATTTTTTAAAAAAGTAATGATTGTTTCAGATATGCTTCTTTTTATTTTTAAATTGTAGTTAATATAAATAAAATATTTTACTATTCAGTTATTGAGAGATGGAGAAGGATTCTGCAATTCCAAAATTTTAATGCAAATAAATTGCCTTGTCAAGAATTTCTAATTATTACTGAATTGTTTTAGTCAGCTGTACACTGCCAAATGCCACTTTTAATTAACTTCATTGCAAATTATAACTCCCACTTTACAACCAGTGGGACAAGGGTTCTTTGTATGTGACCTTTAGGACACTTCTCTGTATAAAAGATAAGGAATTTTTGAAATAATAGCTGGACAATGTGGAAAATCAAATATAGTTTTTACAAATCAACTAAATTTGTCCTGAATTATAGTGTTCTCACAGCTATATATACCCTTTTGAGTAATTCAGAAGTGAACTTCTATGAGCATGAGGATTTGTAGTCTCATGCCATATATGTTCTCTACTGGAGAGGTATTATTTTACTAATTCGCTCTTTTTTTTTTCTCATTTTAAGACCCTAATGTTCACCTTTTTATGCTAAGAAAGTATCTACAATTTAAAAATCTGGATTTCCAACTTGTAAAATAGACATTGCTGCAAAAATTGAAACTAATTACCTCTTTGTGTTTTCCCCCTTAAAGAGCATATGGGTTAGTACCTATGTGTTTACCATATGTTTTGCTGCTAACGTGGGACTGTTGTATGGAGTTGTCTGCACAGTAGTAATCGTGGTTTGCCGGTTTTCCAGGTGAGAAATAATTTATGAAAATATTCCATTAGTGCATGATTATGAGTTCTTTCTGCCATACACACTTTGTAAAGACATACAATAAACTGACTTTAACAATGAAGCTTCACCTTTTTTGTTACAGAAAATTACAAGATAAGATAACTAAAAAAGGAACATCAGCTGTGCATTTGCTGAAGGCTAAGCATTTTTTTTATTGGATTATTATATGTTTTCTGTTAGTAGTTACATATCTCTACAACTCATTAAGTGAGGGTATAAAATCAATAGTAAGATTAATAATATAAATTATATTGCATTAGATCCTTGCTTGCTCTTTCAAAAAAAAAAAAAAAGAAAGGAAAGGAAAGGAAAGGAAAGGAAAGGAAAGGAAAGGAAAGGAAAGGAAAAAGGAAAGGAAAAAGGAAAGGAAAAAGGAAAGGAAAAAGGAAAGGAAAAAGGAAAGGAAAAAGGAAAGGAAAAAGGAAAGGAAAAAGGAAAGGAAAAAGGAAAGGAAAAAGGAAAGGAAAAAGGAAAGGAAAAAGGAAAGGAAAAAGGAAAGGAAAAAGGAAAGGAAAAAGGAAAGGAAAAAGGAAAGGAAAAAGGAAAGGAAAAAGGAAAGGAAAAAGGAAATGGGATGTCTGGCAAACCTTGGTGATTAAGTTCCACATAATAAACTTTCAGATAGTGTATTGTGTAGGAGGTGCCAGCTGACAATTTAATTCCTAAAATATTCTAATGGAAGAGAATTGCACAACTATTCTTCTGTCTGAAAAGTACATTGTGGATGTCATGTATGCATTAGAAAAGTCAGGATGAAGAAACTGCAGCTAACACAATTGGTTATATTCTTTTTCATTATATATGGGAATTGCTCCTTTGGTGAATAAAGTGCTTTACACACGTTGCTGTGAGTAAAGAAAATGGTTTGCCTCATGTGGCAGTTATTTCCATGAACATTGAATCTCACTGGAGTTAACTGCAATATGGATAGACAGTCTGATTCAATGCTTGTTAACGGTGTCGACAATGTGGGCAGGACTCTATTCTTATGGATTAATTTGTGGAATCAGCATTTAAATGGTTTCAGATTGTACCACAATTATAAATTGTAGTAGATGGTTTCTGATTGAATCAGTTAGGACATTTTTTAGCAGCATCCTGCTACTCAACAAACTAAACTTTTGGAAAATTCTGCTAATAAAAAAAAAGATATGTTTTCGTGTTATTTACATACTGTGATTGGATGTCTGAGGTTCAACAACAGCAGAGCATGAATGATATTTGCCACAAAACAAAATTATCCTCTTTTGTCTGACATAGTGGAGACTTGAGTTTGAATAGGTATTAGAGTAAATAAGAATCTATATAAATAAGCTGATGGTTTTACAGTTTCGTTCTGCAGTTAAATGGCTTATCTCACATGGTGATTTAAAGCAGAAAGGAGACTTTCCCCACTTATTATATGGAGAGCATAAGGAGAGAAGAGGCTTTTTCAGTCATTTCCTGCTTTGATAGCTGTATTTTGTTATACTGAGATGCATTGATTTTAATTATGAACATCTTTAGTTTTTATGATTTTTGGCTATTCAATATCTTATTTTTTTTCTGATAGCCTTATTTTACAGGTCAAAAATATTAATTAAATATCTTCACTTTTGAAGTAGTAACTATATATTAGTATATATTAACTACTCTGACTAGAAAATTCCCCTCTAACCAGATAACTAGAATGATGACTAATGAAACTAATTTCTTGATTGACAAAGAGGTTACTTCTTGGTAGCTGTATACCATTAATATGCTGGAAGAATATCTTTTTCTCTAATATGTGCCTTTTTCTCTTTTTAATGCATCACCACCATTTAAAGTAAGCTTTATAAGTGCAAATATAATATGGACTTAACATTATAATTTTGGGATGTAACTCTTCCTGTTTCTGTTCAAAGCTACTAACACTTTGTCCTTTCTCCATGTAATGATTACAGATCAAAGACACTGAATTTGAAAAATATGAAAGAGATGGATTATAAATACAAAACAGAAGACAACTGTGTAAGTTCAATTATCCTTTTTTTGTACTATTTTTTTAATCTCCTGTTGCAGTTTACAGGCTTATAACCAGTGCCTTAAAGGAACATTTCTGAGAAATTTCCACTTCAGATCTAAAGCTAATGTGAAAAAAGTAAATAAAGAACTAGTTGGGACTCAATAAATTGGAATATTTCCCTGTTCCTGCTGCTGATGTGTAAGGTAAAGTTAGGGAAATCCTCTTACCTCTATCTGTCAGCCTGTTTATTACTTTTCTATTTGAAATTGCTTTTTGGAAAAGGGTTTCCTAAATCCAGTCAGTCTAGGAAAAGCTCATTCTAGCAAGGACCGTCTCTACAACCAATCTGTCTCTGTAGTCCTATGAGATGCCCTTGTTCTTCAGGTAGTGCAAATTTGATAGCAGTACAGAGTTGTCACAGACCACCTCATGCAACTTCTCACCATCATGCGCTCACATAAGGGCACTTGGATGCAGAAAAAGGGTCTTTTTCCTGATGTTTGGGTTTTTTTACACTTGACCTTTGCACAAAGTTCAACCTACCAGGTCAGATTTTTAAGATTCTTTTGTTTATTTTCATTACAATTATCACCAATTTTCTTGTGGTCTAGTGGGTAATAAGAAAAGCAATGGCCTGGAGAGGAGAACTGCCTCTTCCAAAATCAAAGGGTAGGTCAACAGCCGGGAGGGAAAGGCAACCGCAAATGTTTCCAATACACAGTCCTAGTAGCTAAGACACGCTGTGTTCTCTGCAGTGGTGGCTTCTACCATATCTGCTTTGCACTTCAAGTACTAACCAAGTAGTCTGTATGTCAGTGAGCAACACACTCAATAGTCATTACCTCACTATTAAGAAATTCCCTTCCGAATAATTTATTTTTTCTGATAAATGTTTTAAAATAGAGTTATCTTAGACTCAAAATTTGAACTTGGTGCTGGAGGTTTTACTTTTCTGGCACACTGAAAAAATTCTTCAATATAAAGAGGTAGGAGAAGCCTCTAAAATTGAATTTAAACACTATTTATTGCTGAACTTGGCCCAACAAAATAGTCAATCAATATATCACTTTTCATTAAAAAAAAGTTGGACTAACTTTGTCAAAAATGTGTAATCCCAAATTGGATTTACATGTTTCCTTTTCATATCCATTTGTAAAACATTTGTACAAATCCATTCGCAACTCTTCAAAAAAGCTAAGTTCTCATCTGCTTTGTTTCCTTAATTACTAAGTTTAATGCCAGTCACCAAGTAATGACAAAGTAGTGTCTGCAGGCAGTGAATGTGGAGAATAGCATTTTGTTAGGAAAACCAATTGCTCAAGAGCTTATTGCACAAAACAAAGAAGGAAAATATTTTTAAGATCTAGAACAATGCTTTTAATTTAGTTTAGAGTCACTGGATTGCAGTGGTAATTTAGCAATAAATATATGAATGTTAGAGTGATCCAAATTCCCCTGGTAAATAACAGCTCAGACATAAACAACAAGACATTTAAACAAGAAAATATTCAAGTTTAATGATTTACCCTGCCATTAAGTTCTTTGGATTTATGGAAATTATTTCATCAGTAGAAAAAGAGACACTTTAATGTGGAAAAAACCCAGAGAATACTTAGAAAATTATGTGAAACACATTGCATTACAGACATTCACTTAACTGAATTCTTAGTGAAGTAAACAATGATGTGCACTGCGCATAGGACAGCTCTCAGTCTTCTCCTAATTGATATAGAGAGTTAGCCACTTCGGATAATTCTACTCCTTCTTTTGCAAGAATACATCAAAAGGAGCTCATTTACCTCAGAATGGTTTAGATAGAATTTTGGAAATGTTTTAAGAAAGGCACTAGAACTGAACTAGGGCCAGGAATAACTGCATGTCTGGCACAGTTTTCCTTGCCCATCCCAGAATAAAAAGATTACACCCACACATTCCATTTGCTTGATCTGGCCTAATGACTTGAGTTTGTCAAAGTTAACCCCTTGTATTTTTGGAAGACTTTGGACGTGCTGTTCATCATAGACCTGTGTATGTCTGTCCCTTTTTTTGTATTTTTCTTCTTTTACTTTGCCATTTCTTTCACTATAGTGCCTGCTTGTCTCAACATCAAGTAGGCCATGCCCTCTTTTCTCTTGTTTTAGAGCTTGCTTTCGTATAATCTTAGCCATTTTAACCAAGAGTTAGACTTTACCACTTTACTGACCGAGATATCTTGGTGATGGAATACTTACCATAATCATATTCATAGATAAATTGTGTGAAAACAGTATACATAATCTGGGGTTTGTTGCCAGAGTTTTGGATGTTTGAGATGCTTCATCAGTCTGTGTGATGGTTGCTGCAGTGGTGTCTGAGAGGTCATCTGGTTCCCAGAAGTCTGAACAGTAATCTGCAATAAGGAGGTAGTTTGTATGGTTTGTGGTGAAGATTTTCATTCCTGGTTTGTCTATTGGGTAAACTGTGTGTCTTCAGTCCAAATCCATACTCTTACTGAACTACTTGAAAAATTGTCTCTTTGTCAGCTCTGCTTATTTCTTGTGTTTGAGTATGAGCTTGTTAAGTAGCTTAATGAGTCTCTGGATTTTGTTAGGATGAATAAAGGCTTTGGGGGCCTCTATTCTCTTGTGAATTCTTGCTTTTTACTTTCTGTTACTAATTTGTCACAAATAGTTCTTATATTTGCATTTTTTTTCTTTTAGTAGCAGATGCATGTTTTCTTTATCTGGATCCGTTTCTACATTTGGTGATAAGATACTGTATCAAATAAAACACTTCCGTGGATTGAAATCCTCTGGAGTACTCCTGGGGACGAGGCTAGCAACAGGAGCCGATTAGCTGTGCTATCATTCTTCTTTAAGAATGTCTAGTTGCATGCCTGTCAGTTAGAAAATGCAACTGAAAACACTAGAAACTTTACAGTTACCACCTTGCTTATTTTTTTTACAGTATTAGATGCATAAAAGCTTAATATAGTTGTTTGTCAAAATATAGATAGAGAACATTGTAGTATAAGTGCATGTAATATGTATTATTAGATGGAGTAGCATAATGTAAAAAAAAATAGAAGACTCTAGAGGTCAACAAATTTTTCATCAAAATAGAAAAAACAGACATCAAAGTGGCTGACAGTAGTTGCTCCATGTTGAATTGGGTCTGTGTCAGACCATAAAAATGAACAAATAGTGGAGAGATTGGATTTATAGTTTTTTGAAGGATTACCATCAATAGATGGAAATTTGGTGGAGAAAAAGTGAGAATGTGATTCTTTTCTAAATATAGGAGAGGCAGTTGATTTATAACTTATGGAAAGTGGAGAGGCTAGTAGGATTAGAATAATTCTAAAGTTTGCAAAACCAATATTTCAAACGAACTCATGATTTTTAATATGCACTGTTACTATACATATAAATTTTCTTGTTTTCTCAAAATGTTTTGTAGATCTGTCTTGAGCCTGAGAAAAAAAGTGTTTGTTTTGCAGGAAATGCTGCCAGTTGGTAATTCGGTATTTCTGACTTTTATCGGTTGTACTTCAATATTCATTCTGGTGTGTACATCTTGTGGAGAGGGCTACATATACACTTGTGAATTGAATGAAATATCTTCCATGAAGTGCAAATGTAGGATCCAAGGTTGCTGATGGTTCTTCTGTGGTTTATTTATTATGCTGCTTATAGAAATATGTTAGCAAATCTTTACATTCCAGTTTGGTCAAGAATCATTTTGTAGAAGTTGGGCTGTCGGGATTTTACTTTTGCTGAAGGTTTTAGTGAGGTAAGAGAAGATCCAGGAGGATTTCTGTCAAGGCAGGAGCTTCTGCTGCAAGCTGCACTGTGAAATGATTTTCTGCTTCAATTCCAGAACAGGCCAGTGTGAGACCAGAGCGGACAGGATTAGTGGGACTTTCCTCCAGTACCAAAGTCTTTTGTTCTGGTGGTTTTTTGCATTTCCTTGAAGCTATGACTTTGTATTAAAGTCACCTTCAGATGACTGAGATGCACATTATGAGTGTTCCCCAAACCACCAGTACTACATGCTCCCGAACTTGTCTATTTTTTCCAGCACACAAGTCTAAAAAAAGACATTCCCTTTCTCTACAAACCTGGTCTTGCCTGTGTTTAGAACCGTACCAGCTGAAATAACACTACATTATTTGCCAGATATTAGTTCTTAATGATATATTATGATATATTATGATGAATATGATTTTGCTTTTGTGCTAACTTGAATTAGCTCAGCATTCTTATATTGATTTATAGGATTTTTTAGGAAATTGTATTGGTTTTTAGTCTCCACAGCCAAGATAAATATTTCAGCCTTTTGTTTATTTCATCCTACAGGAATCATTGAAACAGGTACAGATAATTTCAGTCAACAACCCATTAGTGTTTCTGAACGCCAGAAAATTTCATGCAGACTTGATAAAAATAATCCAGAAAGACAGCACAAGCACCCGGGCATATGAAGATGTAAACAAGGTAGGATGTGCTAAATGCATCAATAAGTGTTCAAGAACATGCTTTTTCTTTTTTTTTTTTTTTCCCAGAGAATGTAATTGGATATTGGACCAGGAAATATTGCAAATGATTAAATTACAATATAATAAAGTTAATCCCAATCTTAATCAGATTTGTTATGTTTTTCGTATTATTACTTGGAAAGTATCCCTCCAATATTTCTCTATATGTGATTCTATGAAAGACATTAAAGTGCTGACCTTTTAAAGTGCTTTATAAAATTTCTGGCAGACCCTACATAACCTCAGCTAATAATATATGGTGACATGACTTTATAAAGACAGTGAGTAGTTACAATTCTAGTTTCATAGAATGTGGGGGTTGTGCTGGGTCAGCAGGTGGCTACAATTCCAGTAGAATAACATATGAGGGATTGAGCTAAAGATCAGCCCAGAGACCTTTTTGATTCTAACTGTGATTCCAATAGTAAGAAGTTACAAATGTGTAAAACTACTAAAGTTCTTTTCTAAAGTCATATTGTTTTTTTTTCATTTTCTACACTGTTTATGCTGATTTTTTTTCCCAGCAAATAAACAATATAAAATTGCACATAATTTGGTCCTGAGGGATGTCACTGTGAGTATAGTGCTTTTCAAATATATCTGCACATAAATACAATAACTTCCCATAAATTTTTCTTAAAAGGAGAAGTTAGTTTTCTTTCATTACTGTAAAGGCACACTATGCAAGGCTTACTGGAAGCAATTTCACCCAATTTGGCTGGCTGAGTGGATAAAACCACAGCCATTGCCTAGACAGGTTGTTTGGACAGCACAGATCAGTCTCTGCCCACCACCTCGTCCGTCTCTTGCCAAAGAGCTGGGCTGCCCGGGCTGGGGCGGCCGTCTCCTCCCCACCATTTGGGAACCAGACTCAGAGACTGTGGGGTTTGTTTTTCCTTTCCTCTGTTGCCAGTAACTGATATTTAGCTACTTCCAAACAGAATGAAATTACTTAGTATTCCTTTTGAATTAATTTCTGAGTTAATTTGATAAGCGTAATAAATTAATAATTTAATGTAGTAAGTTATATTATAAACTACTGAGTAGGGAATTGCTATCCTTGGTCTCTTCTGAAAGGTACTTGTATTTGACAGTAAAACTGGCTTAAATACAGTATATACTCTTGTTTTGTGGATTTTTTTTTTTTTTAGAACAGTGGGAGTGAAAAAATGCACTTTGGATCTTGGTTTCTGTTCTGTATTTCTGATTTTAACTGCTATTTTTATTGGAAGCTTAGCTAATCTCAAATGAAAGTCGTTATTAAAATTTTTGTCCAGATAAAAAAGAATTCTTTAATAAATTTACACATCAATATCATTGTCACTAAAATTTAGAGTTAGATGAGATTTCAGAAAAAAGGAAAATAAATCAAATGTTGATCTTATGAAATTACTTGCTTGAATTTGTCTTTTCAAGAGCATCTTTTTGTGCTTTAACTACTCCTTAATGGCTATCTGTCCCACCAAGCATTATGCTCATAATGCGCTTTCTGGTGGATTCAAACTAGTCATAGAAGTTAAGTAATCTTAAAAAAAAAAAAAAAAAAGAGGTATCAATTTGATGTATAAGATTGCTGGAAGACTTACTTCAGCAGAGTAGATCCTATGGACTGTTGCATAGACTCCTGAGTCTTAGAGGAGTTAGTTTTGATATTGAGAAATGGAATTCTTATGTATTGCATTGGTTTGCTCTGGCTATTGCACACTGGGTTTGTTTTCCCTGGTATGTTAAATGTTTGTTGCTTTTATTTCAGTGTGAGCAGAATGCATTGCTCTGTTCTCTTCCCAATGGAAGTTGTTGTGGTGAGTTTGTTATTTATAAATCATATTAAAACTGAGAGGGATGTAAGTGTGCAGAATGGGCCCACATTTTTCCATTTATTTCTATGTGAACTCAAATTGTCTGGAAACTAATATTTTCTGTTAATCCATGCATTAAGTGAGATATGAGCACTAAACAATGTCAAGCCGCTTTAGTGTTGTCCTAGAAGCTCTTCTTCCAGGAGTGAGAAGTGAGTTTGTTCTGCTCTTAACTTCCTGGTCTTTCTAAGTTCTCAAAAGCCAGAATCAATGAAAATACCTTTTCTTCAGAAGTTCCTGCTTGTTTTTCATGAATTGCTATGTGTTTACTGATAGGCGAAAATAGTAGAGGCTACCACTTCCAGTGTTACTGATCTGCAACCAGAGGTCCAATATACTGCTTTGTTCTGCTCTTGCTCTGGACTCGCATTGTGGCTTGCATATTAGTATGAAAAAACAAGAATAGGAAAGGATTAGACCCATGTTAAATCTTTATGATCTTTAAAGCCGTTTATGAGGAGAAACTCACAAAATGCCAACAGAATTATCAGTGGCACCATAGTCACCAGTATAGTACAGTATGTCAGCAAGGTATAGAATAGAGAAGAAAAAATATAGAGGTTTGCTTTTCATTAGGTATTATGCTGGCTAATTCCATCTCTTACTACATTTTATAACACATGAATCAAAACAGAGCACATATATTCCTGTGGGATAGTCACAGCAACCTTTTGCAAAAGATACTTTATACGAATGACCTCATCATGGATGGAATTCAAATATTCCACCTGTTTAAAACACATATAAGCATTAAGGCTGCAGAATCTGGAATCTGATTGGGGGCTATAGTCTAAATGATTACACTTAACTAGACTTAAGCATTTAATGACTTTTCAGTGCCTAATAGAGGGCACAGTGTTGTGTTTGTTAGGTGATTATTTCAGTCTTACTGGGATGAACTGGTTTCTCATACGACACATACAAGAGACAACTCAAGACCTCTTTTCTGATTGGGTAAACCCTGTCATTAGGTGTACATTTTTCCATTTATTTCTATGTGAACTCAAATTGTCTGGAAACTGGTATTTTCAATTAATCCATACAGTAAGTGAATGGGCTAAAATACTCAATTATTCCTTCTGCTAACCAGTCGTTGGAGTTTCAAATTGAAATTGGAGGAAAAAACCAAAAATCCTTAGAAAAGAAAAACAAATTATAAAGTTTAAATTTATATTTAAATTATTTAAATTAAAATTATTTAATTTTATTTTTTAAATTTAAATTGTTATTTAAATTTAAATTATAAAGCTTAAAGTTCTGGAAGGGAGGGAAGCATAGACATGATCTTTAATCCTTACAGTCGTTGCTCTGGGAAGAGGCAATTTGTGCATGTATGTGGTGTGTGTTTTGTGTATTTTTACCTTCAAAATGTTTGTTTGGGAATAAATTTCACAGTATAATAATAATAATGTTTCACAGTGTGCTGCTGTAACATATCAGATAAATACATTTCAGGTGTAAAATAATCTCAATTCTGTGTCTTGTAGGGTCATTTCTAAACTGAAGCAATGATTATTGGCTTTCATTCCCTTTTTATTTTTATATTTGTATTTTGTTTCTGTTGCAAGAAACCTCTTAAACCTAAGAACAAAATACATACAATTTACTTTTATTTAAACTCTATTCTTGAGACGTCAAAAAAAATTAGGTAACATAATGACTACAAAGAAAAAATATATCACAAAACATCTTTTTAAGGCAAAACTTGCTGGAACCTGTAAATATAAATGTTTATGTTTTGGAGGGTAAGTAATACAGAGAAAGACTAAGTTCTGTTTCAGAGACACAGGAGGTGTATAGAAAAGTTTGCCATGAACAGTCTAGCAGATCTCATAAATTCTTTGGGATTTCTATAGCATTAATGACAGGCAGGAATTTTCCTTTGAAAATATTTATTTTTGTCCAAGTCCAAAAGGCTCAGGCTCATAAACTACTTTCAAGAAGGAATTAGTGCCATTATAAATCTACACAAGGCGGAAATTCTAAGTCACCTCAAGATTCTTAAATCCTTTTCTTTTTCCTCTGTTCTTTCAAAACCATTTAGCTTAACTCATCTTTACACTTAAACTTATTTTCCTTCATCTTTTTCTAATACTTTGTATTTTGTGATAACTAACATTAAAGATAATATTTATCCATAGAGCACTGTAAATAAGCATTCTTTCCAAGTTTTCTCCTTATGAAAGGAATAATTTATTTATGTCCTACTTTGGGACACATTTAATGCAGTATATGCTTTGTTCAAATGTAAGCCGTTTTGAGTTTGGAAAATGAATTTAAAACCATCACAAATCTTAACATCTTTTTTTTTTTTCCTCTAGAATCAATACATGATAGCATATACATTCCAAAAACATCAACTAAACAAACAAACACAAAGAGTAAAAGTAAAAGCTTGCAAAATAAAGCACACCACTTTATGTATTTTTCTTCCTTAGAGGAGGATATCAGTTATGCTGTGCCAGAGGAAGGTGTTTAAGTATTGCAGAAATCAATGATGTATCAGAACCTGAAAGATGGATATGTCCTCTGTGTATTCTATGGAAAGCTTCTGAAAATAGCCAAGAGGTTATACAGACTAGTTTAGAAATTCAAGTGCAGGGAAGTACTTCTTTTTTACTTAGGAGAATATTCCTGTCTGATGCATCACAATAAGGATATGTTCTTCCTGCCATCACTGCAGCCCATTTCTTTAGTATTCTTCATTCCTGTTTCTAAAATGAGCTATTTTCTTGGCTGATACACAATAGACAATTTTTGTTGTGATAATTTTAGCTTATTTTTGTGATATATTATTAAAGTGCATGTTTCTTAATCCAAACTCTTCTCCAATATCGAATACACTAGGTGAGTCCTTGTCGCAGCCATGCCACAGGGAGCGACGTGCTTTGATACTAGACTGCAGTGGACTGAATTTCTTCGACTCTACTGGAGTCTCAATGTTGCTTCAGGTATTCAGATGCATTCTGTATATAAGAATACACATATACAAATACATACACAGATCAGTTTGGAGTTAGCTGCTAGTCATCTCAATCCCATGTAGATTGACATGATTGCTCATGAAAAAGAGAAGCACAGATTTGATAAGAAACTGCCCTGTGTTTATATATAAAATTATAGAAAAACATACCTAATGATTTTGGGAAGGACACGGTGCAGATGTAAATATACATATTTACTGGAGATGACTTTCTGAAAACACTCCTTTTTTTTTTTTTAGGAAGCTGTTTTAGGTCATATTCAAGCTTATTCAAGCAAGATTTCTGTGTATGTGCTGCTTTCCCCTAGTTCGGAGATCTTAATGATCCCCATGTTTTATTCTGTGGGTATACAGACTGAATTCCTCGTTCATAGCAGGAGTTCCAATACACTCCCAGAAGACTCAAAGCAGTAACCACATAATGATGAGTTCTATATAGCAAATGAAAAGCTGTGTTCAAAAGCTATCTCCTACTTTGCTGTTGGTCTTGGCTTTATACAGAAAAAGTGTAGTGAGTATAGATTAACTGGATATGCAGAATTTGGTTCATATCATCACTTTGAATAAGGTAGAAGATTTAATTTGAGCTGGGGTGAACCACAGCCCTTTTCTTCTCCTAACCATTTTCTCAGTCTACTGAAGTGATTAAGCAGTCAAGTAAGTATTAAATTAATATATATATATACATATATATATATTTGGGAAGATAGTCAAAATGAAAACTCGAGAAAGGAAAGGTGAGTGGGAGTTACCCTATTATTTCTCACAATAAATAAAGAGCAATCAATAAAATTACTAGGAAAAGTGTTAATTAAAAATAAACAAAAAATTTGAACTGAATTTCCAAAAGATCCTAGAGACCTTAGAATTACAAGCGACACAAAAGGATGTTAAGCAATTCTGTGAGTAGTAAGACCAGCTTTGGCTATAAAATGCATAGGCTGCATGAAATGCAACCTGACCCTGAATGACTTGGGTCTGAACACCCAAGGGAGGAATATATGAAACATCCTATTTGTTACACTCCTTCCCTAAGTATCACCACTATTGCTGGAGATAAGATCCTGGTAACATGGGTCTTTTGAGAAAGTCAGGCTTTTGGTTCATTTCGTAAAATAGGGTAATTTGGTGTGGTCTGGTTTAATCTCTCCTTTTAGAATTGTTCCACTTTATATGGATTATTTAAGTATTCCTTGAAGCAGAGAATGTAAACAGTATTCCTTATATTCCAGAACCATCTACTCTGGTTCTAGACTTATCCTTTTATATACCTTTTCTCTCTTATTTTTATATACCTTTATATATCCTTTTATTTACCTTTTCTCTCTCACTTTCTAGCTTACTGAATATTTAGTCTCTGCCAAGCTGAGCACTTTCTGAGAAGGAAGACAGAACCACTTGCTGCAGAATGTAGCATGTTGGTTATGGCACTTTTCTGATAGACTGATGGACGTTTCAAAGTCTCTTAGTTCTTCTTCTTATCTTGCTCACATGGTATGTAAAAATATGAAGACAAGTTGGAGAAACATGTAGGAAAAGGCATGCTAATAAAACATTATGGAAAAAAATCATTAAAAAAATAAGCAAGGCAAAGCTATTAATCAAATTCAGACTTAATTCAGTTTATTGTAAGTAGGTCTGTAGAGTGTTTTGAGGAAGGGGGAGAAAACGACCCTTTAGTGTGAGCTTTGTGGTGTTTATATTACAGCATGGCTCTCTCTGGTGGTTACTGGCAGTATAGCTGGACTAGCAGTGCTCATACTCTTTGCTTGCCTTGAGTATGTTCTTTTGTATGTTTTATTCTCTGTTGACGTTTTAAGGAGTTTTTTTTTAATTTCTTGTTTTCACACATTTAGATTTACATGGATTGCAAAAGCAGACACACTGATGTGGTGCTAGCACACTGCAAAGGCAAGTATCAGCTTACAGCAAAATGTTTTAGCATGATGGTTTCGATATTCTCACTGCCTTATCAGTGCTTGTCTGTTTCATTACAGCTTCCTTGATAAAAGCTATGCAGTACGGAGCAAACCTGGAATCTGAAAATCCCATCTTCTTTGAATCTGTTTCTTCTGCAATCACTGCCATTCAAATTAACAGGGTGAGACTTGCAGCAGTGGGGAGGTGAAGGAAGGTTTCTTGGGAAATCTTACTTATTTGGTGAACCATTTGTGCCTAAATCTTTTATCTTTGTCTATCACAAGTTCCCAGCCTCTGGTCCTTGGTTATTAAGTTTTTTCAGCTTGAACTGTCTTCCCATCATCTTCTCCCATTCCTTTAGCAATGGCACCTAGGTCTTCTGTGCCAGATCCAGAAAGACTTTTTTCTGGAGCAGTAATCTGGATGCTTTCTCCTCTGGGAAGGGGAGAAGTACCTGTTGGAGTCTCTTGATGAGGTACGTTAGCTTGCACCTTGTTGTGTACTACCGAAGCTAAATTCCTTCATTCCTCAGCGTAGGTCGTTCCAGCGTGCAGTGCAGGCTGCACACCCCGAGCTGGGACGTGCTTCTGGCACGGTATGAATCTGAGATGCACAAGTGCAAAGTAACAGAGAAACAAGTCAAATTCAAATGGGACACTGAGCTGCTCTGCCTGAAATACTTCTAGATGCTTTGCAGATTTTTTTATGAGCATGTCTATTCTGCACTATAGTGTGCTGTGCTGGCTTATAAAAAAGGGGAATTGGATGGCGTGGAAGAGAGAGCTGCAGAGGGAGGAAGAAAAAGGGTTGGCTCAGAAGATGAGGCTGGAGGTTCGAACAAGCGTTTATTTGCTTGATAATAGTTCTTGCATTCCTTCTTAAAAGGCTATAAACCTGCACTTTTCTCGTAAACAGTGCGAGCATTTCCATTGCAATCCGGCTGTAACCGAGCATGCAGTGTAAGGACTAAGCTTTCCCATGCTTTTGCTTTTACTTATGATTCCCACCATGGCCGGAGCTCATCTCAGCCTCTTCAAAAGAAATTAAACTAATTATGGCTATGAGTCCCGGCCCCTACTCCTGTTACTGTGATCTGGTACCTTTCACTTATTATGGTTGCCCTTGCCCATGGACAAAATCGCTTTCTACTGATTTATCTAGATAAGGCCTTGTTGGTCTGGTAGCTTGCAGACCAAGAAAAATACATTCTTTTCAGTGCTTTTCAACAGACTTTACTTTCTTGTCCCACAACAAAACTCTTATTGAGATGGTAACTGCAGGGCAAAAATAACAGGGCTGACTATTGTATATTTTGTCTGGGTCTGATTAGATCAATTAGGATGATTACTGTGTTATGAAACTTCTGCATTCTTTATAGAACTAATTAACTTCCTAACATTCTTCTGAGATGGTTATGTAGTAGTGTTCCCATTTGTCACGGAACGAGTGGTGGTGGGGGTGAATGACACAATGCACTTCACTCATGGGAAAGGAATAGGAATAGGTTTTATTGATAATGACAATGGTTTCACGAGATTGTATGGCAAGGTCACTTTTTATTTACTGCATTGGGATTCAAGATGCACACAGAATTACCAAGGACACCCTCCCGTTGGGTCACGAGGTTCAGATTGGACCCCCTTGCTTTCCAAACTCCTCCTGAGAGGAGTCTGGGTGCGGCTGGATCCAGTCCTAGTCCCAGACCTGGTCAATGGTTTATGACTAAGGGATTTGTGCACAGTGACCATGTAAAGTTTATAAGTTCAGAAAGAGAGCACCTTATAGTCACTTACCACTAATCTGTTGTGGGAAGGATCTCTCAACCCTGAGGAGTATCCTTGAGAGGGGTCCCTGCTCAAGGGGAGATCCTGGCATGCAGTCCACTGCGATGCAAGGAGAGCTCAATGGGCTGTCAGGCTGTCCCTGTATTTATGGGATAAGATGATTGACTTATAGTCATTCTTTCAATTCAGAAATGACTGGTGTTGGCTGGTGTATGCACCACTAGCCTTATCTCCCCACCAGGTTGCAGCCATCAGGACTGTTATTGATGGTTACTGTCCAAGTTGGTAAAGAAATCAGGGAGGCAATTACCAGGATCAGATAATGGGTAGTTAACACTTGAATAGGGCTGAATGGGAGAAGTCAGACTGAGCTGGGGAAGAAGCACATCCATCACACCATTTTATGGAACTGGGGCATGAAAAGACCAGCTGAATGGTCCAAAGCCATGGAGGAAGTTAAAACTAGAAGCCAAGCATCCACTTTTTCAGGAACTGATACCATGTGTCTACCAGAGATGCTTGGCAAGTTTTGACTCTCAAATTATGAATATAATTATGAACAGTGCATAGATGCTACTGCTTACTCCTCTTTTGACCCTTCAAAGTATTTGTTTAGGTTTCCTGATATATTTCTTGCAATTAATACCTGGGGGAAAGAGATGATGGACAGAGATAAAATGGATGGATGACCACAGCAGCAGCACTATAGCCAACACTGTTCTGTGCATGCTGTATTTATATGCTTTTTAATGATGCTAAGGTCAGCTGGATTTTTGAGTGCTTATGTGAGGAAAATATGGTAAAGATAAGACAGAAAATAATAGAATGGAAGGAAGCGGACATATACAGAAAGTGATTTGTTCCAATTTACATTTTGAATTCCACTGCACGAAACAGTCTTTAATTGGCAGAAAGGTAGAGGCAAGAGGCAATATGGTTACATATCATCTGTAAGTGTCATTTGGATATGCAAAGGTGCTCTTATCTAAAACTTCAAAGGAAATTATCACATCATCCTTGCTTTTTATTAGTATGAGACTCATCTGCTGCTTTATGCAGTTCATCCTTATCCTAAGTAACTTTTGATATATTAGCCTCTATGCTAGTGACGTTTTTCACTTCACACTGCTTCAACTACTATTTTTGACTGATATTATAGGAAAATAGTATAATAATCTTTTTCTGTTTTTCCCACTTCAGAATTACAGCAAATTCAGTGAACAAAGTGAAGTGTAATGTCGACTCACTACATGTGTTTTTTGATCTACTCATATTTGGAGTGAATACGCCACAGTTTTTTTTTGACTTCTTTTTTCGTCAGGAGATATTGCAGAAGATGTTTTGCATAACATATATATATACTGCATTTAGCAGTGATGGGTCTGCAGTTGAGGAAAAAAAATTAGATACCATCACTCATAAAATTTTCAAAATTGTTCTATAGTGGTTTTATATAATATTTTTGTACACATTTAAATACAAATTATTGCAACAGATATGTGGTATTGTCCATGTTTATGAGTGAGATATATTATTCTAAATTTCTCCTATTGTAATGTTAGTTGTAATATACATCTATGGTTTTGTGCATGGAATAATAAGGCATTATAAATCCTGGAAAATGTTATTAATAACTCAGTATATGCAGGAAACAATATACCAATGCATATTCTCTTTCTATTATTTTACCTGTCTTCATGTTCAAGACAGTCATTTCCAGTAACAGCATCATACCTCAGCTAATATTCTTGTGTTTTTTCTTCTTGGTTATCATATCCATTTTAATGACTGCCAAGGTCAGTGAGAGCTCTACATATTCAGAGAAGGTAGCTGTGTGTTCACTAGTGCTTGAGATAGTCTCCCCCTCTAATCGTTAAATTATTTTTATGGTTTGCTACATTTTCAAAGCACAGGTGTTCTTTAGCTGAGATGGAAGAAGAAAAACATGAAATCTTTTTTTCCAAAATTTTTTTTCCAGAACTTTTAATTATACCTAGTCTACACTTCTAGCATGAGCTGTGATACAGTTGGTACTGGAATAGTCAACTGTGGCAACTGAGAGATGATAGTGGAGCGACCCAAGGTACATGCCACATTTCAGCTCAAATTTCTCTATGCGTTACTGCACGAGAGCACACAAATGTGGTGGGACTATTCACATTTTGAGTATTTGACTTTTAATTATGGATTTCTATCAACAATATTAGATTATGTTTTCACTAATACTGCACACAGGAGAAATCAGTACCAGCCAGATGCTATAGCTGATGGCAGATGACTTGTTACATTCTTGAATCTAAGAACAAGTTATTATATTTGGTTGGTAATCGATTCAAATAGTCTTAATAATTTATTAATATTACAGATACTATTTACATTGTGCTTTAACTGTAGAAAATCAATTGTAAGTCACATGGAATGGAGATCTCTGCTTAAATACAAACTGAATCAGTGAATAAAAGTTATCTATCATCTACTAAGTTCACTATTTACACTTTAATGGCTAAACGTATTTTCTGAAAGTATACAGAGAAATTAATTAATAATATTATTCAAAACAAGGTCTGTAACAAACATAGCATCCACTATGACGATCCTGTGTAATGTTAGTGCTTGTTGAAATCCTCTGCAGCTTTGCAACAAATTAAAAATTTGTCAGTGCTAATAAAATTGTTGTCTATTTTCCACTGATTTCAACAGCAATAAATTCTCCACAGCTAAATGGCTGTTTTGAGATGGACATTTATTTCCCATTAGGTCAGAGACCTTCTTGTGCTACAATGTCACTTTAAAATGTGTTTCACTGAGGTAAGAACATACCTTCAGAATGTCTTAATGCTGTCATTAGCGGTTGCTTGTCTCTCAGAGCAGAACCAGGGATGAAATGCATTTCTTACCTTAAGACATTTAATTGTAAATCTGCATTTTCAAACATTCCAATACCTTGGGATGCTTTAGGATTCCTCTTTTTTTTTTTTCTTTATATTATTAGCCCAGATTTCCTTTTACTTTTTAGAATATAAATTGTTAATTAGTGCTTGTTAGTGGCAATACCACTGCAGGTATGATACTTATTTCTTATCAGAACAAAACGTTCAAGGAACTATAAATATAATGGCCTTTTCAGTTGTTTTTGAAACACCTACACAACTCCTCAGTACAAAGCACTGAGTTTAAGCTTTGTCAAACCAACAGTTTTTTACATAAGTGATTAGTGGAAGTGGGAGGGCCATTTCTTTTTTACTCATGACCTAAGAAGGCAGATTACTTCAGTGGTGGTTCAGCTTCCTTTTTTTTTTTTTCCACTGGCACTAATCTGAGTTATTGAAGATGACAAAACTGCATCATGTTGCCTGTCTTCAGTGACCAGGATGATGTGTTGCCCAATTTCAAATTCCAGTGACTGACCACCAGGAAATCACTGACTGCTCTGGTTGTGTCTGCGAGGTGCTGAACATCTTTTTGAGTTGCTCACTGCAAATCTCTCTTGACCATGTGTTTGCTTCATTTAAACAGTAAATTCAAGATCAGCAACAGCCTGATTCTTTTTCACGAAGACTTAAAGAAGCATCCTAAGCCTAAGTCATGCAGTATGGTATCAATTCCAGCCAGTTTATCCATGCTACTTTGTGTAGACTGTCTATTGGATATCTCTGGCTCACTAGGAAGTGTTTGAATGTAATTATATTAGAGCTTGTCATAAAGTCTCCAATTAGCTTTCCCAAAAATATTTTTCTGATTCAGGAGGACAGTGTAACCTGAATTCAACCTGTAGCAAAGACACTACATGAAATCCATGTGCTATTGGACTCCCTTCTTACAGTAGGGTGGGCTCCCATTCCCCTATCCATGCAGTGGGGAATTTGAGATATAGAGTAAGGGGCTTTGGTTATTGTGCTCTCCTAGGCAGATACTCATCTTTGTGCCTTACAGACTTATTTACCTGAAGATTTCTAAGGCATTTTTCAGAATACGGTACATTTTTATTAGCTGTCTTTGGATATGCAAGATTGTGCAGCATCAGCAATAAGGACATAGTCCTGGAAAATATTGAGCTCTCTCATTTTCTATTGATTTTTTGAGGTGTGAGAAATACTCCTTACTTCACAGTAAAGGCTCAAGGAAGTGTCTCAGTTATTAACAAACCATTTTGAAAGGATTTAATTAATGAAGTTGATGGAAGCAATTTTGCAAAAGAAACCATTCATTTTTGTTCCTAAATATGTACACTTAGATGCTCAGATTCTGCATTGCTAAGTCCAAAGCATATGAACTCTATGAAAATCCATGCTTTGATATTGTACATTTTGGCATACCTACACTTTGTAGGAAAACATGGAAGGTGTGCTCGTTTTCAAGAGATGACCAATATTTTGGACTACTTGCTTGACATTTTTAGGAATTTTTAGGAAATGTTCCTAAACTTTAGGATTCACTCATTATGTGAATGAAGATTTTTTTCTGCAGATTTTAAAATGCATTTATTGGAGTACACTAAAATGGGGATCTCATCATATGTTTCTTAGAGAATTTGTGTTTCACATGTTCCAAAACAAAGCAAGGAAAAATGGAAAAAAATAGTGCAAACTTATGTTAAGAAATAAACATAGTGACAATTATAAATATACAATAAGAGAAAGACTGCTAACATTATATTTATGCAAGTTAAATGTTCCTAATTCTCATTCTCATTGTACGTCTTTCATTTTAAAGGTTATTTGCCCTGAATCTGTAATTCAAGTGTCACAAGGTCTGAGTTTAGCTGCCTTGACATAATTTATTTGACAGCTCTGTATGCCATAAATATATAACATAACAAGGAAAGGTACCTTCACTGTTGAATGAAAACATTAATGTGTCAATACTGTGTATGAATCTTGTTTGGCATTTACTAGCTACCAAAATAAAACATACAGTATGCCTTGAAAATATGGTAGTCCTATTTTTGGGAGATACTTGCTCTGTGTACAGAAAGTAGTCCCTTATAAATAAATGAACATGTGCAGTTCCAGAGTGGATGCTAAATGGTGCTTCATCATTAAGATGGATTTTTAGTAAAGATCACAGATCGCATAATATGTACATTTCCATTTGTTTTACAATTCATCTAATTGGTTTTCCCCCTATTTCAATTCTGTATGTTAGCACATGCAACAATAAATTCATATGGAAATAAACTGGAATAGGAGATAAATTACAAGTTGAGGGAGGAAAATATCCTTATTATTTCATTACTCAATATTTTTTTCTACGTTATGTACTAACTAGTCTGTAATGATGTACATTGCCTTCCCCAACCTCAAGTATATTAAAACTTAATTAACAATGACACAGAATAATTGTGCTATATTCAGAATCTGCTTCCTCACAGGTTTTTAGGGCAGAATAGTATCTGATAGACCCCTGTAAGAGATAGAGAAATCTTTGGCGATATATCACAGTGTTACTTCTATGCATATACAATTATTTTAATTTGTGTTTTTTAATTCTGTCATTTGCATCCACAGAAAGTGCACCTCCTATCCTGTTTGTGGTACTGCTTTTACAAAGTCGGTGGCTCACCTTAGTAGAGGGAAAAATATGGGTAATTCTCTCCTTCTTCCACTCCTCCCACCCTGATCCCCAATAATTGTTGGTGTAAATGGAAATGGATTGAGTTCCCTTTAAAATTTGGCCTTGAAAATAGTAGCCTAACTCTTCAAGCCTAGTAAATGATTAAAACACTTACTACTAAAAAAATATTAATGGAACTCCTACATTTTTTATTCCACACCTGTCTGCAAAAGTCTAAATGACTTGCAGTGCTATAAACTGGTAACCTTGGGTAAAAAGGCTTTTTGGTCATCGTCTCAGGAAACAAGGTTCCTCTGTTAGTCTGCAGAGCAAGTGCCAGTAGTGTCATGTAATGACATATGAACATCTCTTAGATGGTTTCAGATTTGGAACACTTCCAGCTTCTGAAGGAAAAAATGGAACAAAAAGTGTACAATTTTAGGAACAGAGGACTGAACAGGAGTTGTTTCATCACTGACCTGCATTTGCTGTGATAATTGACAGTACTGTTTTATAATTTTATAGAATGATTTTTAAATCAAACTCACAATTGCTTGGAACTTGACTGCTACTTCAAACATTTGATGCTCGAACAAGCAGTAGCAATTGTAGCAAAAAATCTTCTGTGGTAGTCTACAGATGGAGATACTCTACAGAAACGGAAAGCAGTATTTCCCAAAGAG